AAGGTCCAGCGCCTGGCCAGTGGTCCCCGAGTCTCCAGGGACCCAGGGGAATGAATGGGGAAGCTAGGAGAACAGGGTGGCACCCAGGAAATGGCATAGAAAAAGCCCAGCGTTTGGCACCAGAAAAAGTAAAGGTTCAAATTCTGACTCTGCTGCTTATTCATAGGCCTTGGGCAAAATGATTTAAATTCTCTGCACTTCAGTTTCTGCATTTTCTCCCCTACTCTACAAGTTGTTGTGAAGCTCAGAAATAATGTATATGCAGTGTCGGCATAAAGGAGATGCTGAAAGATGATTATTATGCTTGATGTCTTCGGTGTCCCAAGAGTGGCTGATTTTTATGATAATGAATCTGACAAATTCCGCTATTCTGATATGTCAGAGACCAGCTCAGTTGTGCTCACATTAGTCTGAACTGCACTTCGTAACAGTCTAACTCTTTGTAAACTGGTCATCTCCGCGTGATGTGCATGGTAATGGAGAATTACTAGAATATTCAGCTCTCAATGAATAGCATATCTTGGCCATTATGTAAAAACCAAGGGAAAGTGAATTATGAAGACACTGGTTGCTTCTTGATGTTAAAGGGCCTCCGTAGACTGTGCAATGGCTGCACAGCCACAAATCCGGTTTACACCGTGTGGTCTGTCATCCCACAGACAGAACAAGGCGGTGGGAACTGAATCAATTCAGCAGGATGCCTTTATGTAGGAAGATTTCTTGCTGCTCTGTAAATGCTTATTTATTCATAGGTGTAGAAAGTGCTTTTCTTTCATTCTGTTTCTAGGTTTGACCCCACGTAATGGGCGTTCGGTACTCATGGGCTGAGGAATAGCAGATGAGCACTGACCCTCTAATTAAACATTAATAAGTCTGTGATAATAGCATCAAAAGTACATTTACGTGATCGGACATGGAATGAGATGATGGTTACCATTTTTATTGCTGAGGCCCCAGAGGCAAAGCATGTTAGATACGTAAATTGAATATGTAGTATCAATTAGGATGTATTATCCAGTGCATCCTCATGCCTAGTGCTTGGTAACATCTTCCATTTTGAATTTGAGTTTATTTATTTGTTTTAGCATACAGCTATGTTTATAAAACGCAATCAGAATTTCTAATATTACTGCCCTCTGTCAGTCAGGTGATCAGTCAACCACCTTTATTCCGTATCTGCTATGCAACACTTTGTATAATTCTGGCCTTAGATCTTGCGATATAACTGGAACAGATCAACAAAGTCTCCCGAACGCTCACAGAGGTTTAAGAGAAAGGAAGCGCCGGAGAAAGCAAGTCATGTTTCCTCAACCCCTGGGCCAACGAGAACACGAGGGGGTTGACACAGCTACAGGCACCTACAGATCAGAAAGACAGCATTGCACAGTGCTGCGTTGATCTCTTTATATCTTTAAAAAGCAATTCGTTTTGAAATAATTTTCCACTTAGGGAAAAGTTGTGAGTCAGGACGCATATCCGCCTCCCTCTGCCCCTCAGCTGGGTGCCCGTCCGCCATCATCAAGCCTTCTCCTGACCGTGGAGAGCAGCCGCAGGCGGGATGCCCCGTCACCCCCACGTGCCCCTTGTGCATTTCCCCAGACAGGGACATTCCACAGGCCACCAACCTGCCGCCCTCCCAGTCAGGGAGTCATGGTTGACATACCACTCCTAGCCGGCCGGCAGACCCCATTCACATTTCACCAACCATCGAACATTGTCCTTCCCTCCTTTCTGGTGCAGGGACATGCATTGTACACAGTTACCATGTCTTGTTAGTCTCCTCCAACTTAGATTTGGTTTTCGGCTTGATGAGTTTTATGTTTTTATGTTGATTTAGTTGCTAATAAGAAGGATTTAAAGTGGCTTATGAAAACATACAAAACAAACAAAATAAGGGAATCGACACGTGCGTTTAGTTGGACATCTTCTTGTGCCTGCTCGCTCTGCGCCAGGCAGTGCTCCCGGTGCAGGTCCTGAAACAATGACAGGCAGGGTGACATGGGCCCCGTCTCACGGACACGGGGGGCCTTGGACAAGCGGGACAAGCGCGAGGCGCCTTGTGCCAGCAGAAGCCTGGCGTGCCCAGGGAGCGTAAACCAGGGATTCCCGCAGGGGTGGGCAGGGCCCGGGCAGGGCACTCACCGAGGGGAGAGCAGCACTTGTCCGGGGTTTTCCGGGAGCGGGCACAGCAGATTCCCCAGCTCGGCGCACGCTAACGCCCTTCTCCTGGTTGCTCAGGCAGAAGCCGCTGGAGCCCCTCGTGACTTCTGTCTTCTCTCGCTCCCTCTGTGCCGTGTGTCAGAGAGCACCCTAACTCGGAGCCCCTTTCGACCCCCCCACTTTCACTTCTTGGTGGCCTCCCTCGGTGCGGGCCGGGGCACTGCCACGGCCTTGTGACTGGCCGCGGGGCTTCCGCTCCTCATGGCGTCTTCCTAACAGCACACGTGGGCTTTCCTGTTGACCGGGAGTTGATCTGTCACGGCACTGCTCGAGCCCCCCCGGAGGTTCCAGCCAGTCTCAGCGGAAACGCCAGAGCCCTTTGGGTGGCCACGCCCGCCTGGTTCCTCCCCCGGCTGCGAGCCCCTCTGCCTGGAACGCTGGGTGTAACTCGGGGAGACCTGTAGGAACACACCCGGCAGACGTGGTGCTGGCATGTGCGGGGGAACCCCAGTAGCCGGTAACCATTCCAGAGGCTGGGGTAGGCGATGCATTACAAATTGGAGAGGATACGAAGCTGTAAAATCGATGGCGACCATCCTAGTGCACTTCTCTGATCATGAAATAGAAACAGCTTGAGATACACACACTGCTAGGCAAGAGACACCCTAGAACATAGCTAATCACAGATACTTCCTGGGAGAATTTGCGTTTTCCCTGGGCTTCCTTGTGAGTGGGACTTGTGGCAGCCGTGGCCCATTTCCAGTGTTTCATTTTGCTGCATCAGCTTGTGTTCTCCGAGGACCTTCCCCCGGCAGCCACAGGGTGCAGCTGAGGACGTGGCCAGACGGGGTCTAGCTTCCTGCGGACACTCGAAGGCCAGGACCTAATGGTCCTACTGGCAAGAACCAGTCCTTTTGGGCACATGCTAGGTGTCAGGTGTGGGGCTGAACACTTTGCATAGATTACCTTGCTTAATCCTCAGAAAACGTTATGATGCGTGGATACTACCATTAGGCCCATTTCTACAGATTAGGAAACTGAGGCTTAGAAAGGTTAAGGAACTTGGAGGTCAGACGAGTTGAGGTACAGACTCAGTTTTCTCCTAATCCCTGTGTGAGTGTCTTTACCACCAAAATATGATGGCATGTGCTGGGTGTCCAGCGTGGTAGGTGTCACGCGTTATTTTAGAGCACACGAGATAAGGGCTTTATTGCTTTGCACCGAGGCTCTGATTTGATGTAGCAAGGGATAAGTAAACAACTAAATCATACAATGAATGTTTAGTAAAAATAAAAAATTAAAATAAAATAAAATTTGCAAAATGTTTGAAGCTTGGTGTTCGGGAACAGGGGCCTTTGGGCATTATCTTAGAAGACCTGTCAGGCCAGGCTTAGCTGTGCGTGGTAGGGTGGTGTCTGAATGGGCTCCGGCTGTCCCTTTGAAGAAGGCCGCACAGCCTGACAGCTCTGGCAGTTGCCTGCGACTTAGTAGGGAAGAGCAGTAAGTTCACACTTTCTGGTATCATTAGAACAAATCATTGGCACATCCTCTTAGCAAGATTTTGGCTGTTGGTCCCGACACACATGGTGCATTTATGGGGAGGTCTCTCAGTTGACATCTCTGTGGACCCAGACGTGTTGCCCTGGACACCTGGGACCAGCCTTTCCTTTGCCCGAGAGCGCGTCTGGGGAGTGGGCCAGCACGGGAGAAATGTCACTCCACAGCAGGGGTGTGCTGAGGTTACCTCTGCTGGTATATGATGCAAGGGTTTGTTCAAAATGTTTTCAAAATAATGAGCTTGTTGAAAACAGCGCTTTAGTCCGAAACTGAATCTTACAGAAACAGCGTATTGGACAATGGCTGTAGGGCTATGGAGCTAAAGGAGTCTTTGTGATGAAGGGTGGAGCCTCAAAACATCTTCTCATTGTGGCACACGTAGGAAAGGCCATATGCGCACTGCACACTGGGGTAAGCAGTAGGCGCTCACGTCCAGAGGTGGCTTCCCGGGACCCTGGGTGGTCCCAGGGCCCACCTACTACCCAGGGGTGCAAGGTACCCAGGTTGCTACACACACTCCTGCCAAGGGTCACTAGGATAGAAATTCTGATGGATGGTATTTTTAAACCGAGTCCTTACATTTTGGCAAAAAGGGCTTTATGGGACACTTGCCAATTCTTTAGGTGTTTGAGTATGAAGGTAAGTTCTCATTTGAGGGGATTCCCATTTCTGCAGTTTATATTAAAAAATTGTTTTTACAGTGATTTTATACTTATACCTTGTCCTGAGAGACTGAAGGCCAATAAAAAACAATAGGACCCCTACTTTATAACAGAAGTGGATACGTGGCCATCTATAACATGACAGAATTTGAACATTGCTTCTATGACTGTAACCGTGGCAGGTTCTCTCCTGGTGGGCAATTTCTAAGGAAACATTCTTAAAATCAACACTTAAGCACTGATTTTTTTTCAACTAATTATATAGAATTCACCAAAATTAGCAGGTTTTCTCCCACACAATCATCATGGCTTTAACAATAATTGATATTAAGTATCCTACTATGTGCTGATCATAATAATTGCCATGATATAAATATATGAACTGTACCCTCCAATAGTTAGAAAAATGAAAGGTAGGAAGGCAGTATTGTCGCCAGTAGAAAGACAGAAGAGTCTTAAAAGCACCAACTGAGAGATGGAAGTTGTGCCTAGAAACCAGTGACTTTCTGTATCATGTCATCAAGGTGGCTGTTGGTTGGAAGTGGAGCTACGAGACCCTGGATTGTCTATTTTGACTTGCACGGTTCTTTATTTGTCTCTCTTGTCATTTTGGGTTTCTAGCTGAGACGTTAAAACAAAGATTGGAAGACCTGGAGAAAGAGAAAAGCAGCCTGCACTTCCAGCTTCCTTCCAGGCAGCCGGCCCTTCGCAGCCTTCTGGTCTACCTGGGAGCTCAGGCCGAGGCCGCCCTGCGTCGGGCCGCTCAGCAGTAAGTACTTGGGGTGGCCCTCACCCTCCTCTCCCCGGGTCCCCTCCTCTCTCGGCTCCCAGAGAGTGAAGAGCTGGGCGGGGGCGGGTTTAGCTGCAGAGACCCTCAGCTGCTTTTGGGGAGAAGCTCCCTTTTGCTGGGTGGACAGGTGGAGAATTTTTCCAGAGTGAGGGACCCATGTGGGCCACCCCCTTAAGAAGCCCTTTCTGCTAATTGACAAGAGAGGCCCTCGAAATGCACAGCAAGGGCCTGGGGATTAAGCTTCCCCGGAAAGCTGACCTCCTGAGAAGCGGGGTGGTTTTCCTCTGGTCAAGGGCAGCTCGGGCTCCCGTCCTTGTGTTAACCTTCCAGGTCCACAGACGGGCCCTCTGACCGAGAGGTGAAAGTCGTCCTCCTCCTCTGCTCCCCAGGGGTCCCCTGGCATCGGTAACGGAGAGCAGCTGTCATTTCTAACCCAGTGGCTCTCACCCGGGCTGCACGCTTCAATCCCCTGGAGAGCTTTTAAATGTTCAGTTTCCACCCAGACTAAGTCAGTCGCTGCGGTGGGTCCCAGTCACTAGCGCGGCTGGGGGTCCGAGAAGCGCTGCTCTTAGATACCTGCTTGTGTCCCCTCTCCCTGGGGAAAGACTGGCTTCAGAGAGAACGGGTTTGTGATGGAGGAGGGCTGTCAGCTCCATCACAGTCCGTGCCTGCTTCTCTGTAGGTGTAAACGCGGCCGCAACAATTACGTTTTATTTCTAATTTCCCGTGGGCCCTGGCAGTCGCAAGCCTGGCCCATCCCGCGTGGGTGAACATGGTGTTACGCAGTCAGCGCGTCCTGGTGTCTCCCTGTAGCCTCCCTTAACAGTGAGGACAATTATTGTCTGGAGGCTTGCCCTGAAGCTTTGCTGGTAGCAGAGAGAGAGGCACCTGGTAGGTACTTCCTGATAAATGTTTGCTGAATGAACTTTTATGTGGGCTTTTTAAAAAGCAGGTGAATTCCACCCACTTCCGTTCTTTGTATTCATCTCATGTTGAGCTAGTACCTTGTTTCCTTTCCCCTTCTCACACGGGGCTCTTCCCAACTTGACTGTCTACTTAATTCTTTCTTTCATTTCTTCTTTGGCGTTATTTCATGTCCTCCAGTCCAGTCTGGGCCATTATAGTCTCTACTGATGTATTGTGTTTCTCTGTCCTTTACAAATACTATCCAACAGTTGCTCAGTGCCTTTAAGAGTAACTCAATTAAAAATTTTTATTGTGATAAGATATATATTACATAAAATTTACCATTTTAACCATATGAAGGGTACAGTTTAGTGGCATTAAGGACATCACATTGTTGTGCAGCCACGACCACCGTCTGGCCCCAGAACGCTTTTATCTCCCCAAACTGAAACTCTGTCCCCATTGAACAACAACTCTCCATCCCCCTCCTCCAACCCCTGGGAACCACCATTCTACTTTCTGTCTCCGTGAATCTGACTTCTCCAGGTACCTCATGGAAGTGGAATCACACAGTATTTGTCCTTTTGTGACGGGCTTATTTCACTCAGCATGATGTCCTCAAGGTTCATTCACGTTACAGCAGGTGTAAAGATTTCCCTTCTTCTTAAGGCTGAAGACTATCTCGTTGCATGGACGGACCACATTTTGCTTATCCTTCCCTCAATGAACAAGAAAAGACTTATTTAATCCTCAAGACAATTCTGTGGGGTGTACTCTTTTATATATTGATATCTGTACTTATATGGATATCTACATGGTCATCTAGATCTATATTTGTATTTAAAGATGAGGAATCGAGGCCCAGAAGAGGTTAAGGGACTTGGGCAGAGCACCCAGCGGTGGTGCTGAGCCACGGCATAAACCGGGCCGCTGGCTTGAGTCTTTGGCTTTTTCATGACCTGTTTAGCTTACATGTGATTTGGTTGGAGACCAATGCTTTGTCATGGTCTTGGCTGAGTTTCTCATAGAACGCAATGCTGAAATAAAGGTGATATCATGCATTCACTCAATGAGGTTACATCATCTGACATTTCTTACATTGGCTTTTTGGGCAGTATAAAGGTAGCAACTTCATAGGATTCAACCTAACATGTCCCCATGAAGATAGAGAGAGGCCTTTATGAACCACATACGAAGCCAATATAAACTGCTGGCTTACCTTGTGCACTGTTACCCTCTCTCCTTTCCTCACAGGAGCTGCCTGTACCCTGGTATGGTCTGATTTCTTGAGCCCACTTTCCCTCTCGCTACCAAAGTCAGCCATGATATTCCAGGTGTTAAATTTAAAAGGCATTTTAAATTCATGTTCTGTTCTGCATCACTGCATCGTCCAGAGCTTTTACTCAGTCAAACTCATTCCTGAAACTCCCTGCCCTTGACTTTCATGTGTCACCCTTTCCTGCTCTTCTTGCTGCTTTGCTGGCCATTCTTCCCAGTCTCTCATGAGCTCCTGTTCCTCTCTCGGTCTCCCTAATGTTCATGTTTCTCTGCCCCGGCTGCAGCCTGTCCTCTCTTCTGAGTGTCTCTGTCTCTGTGTGATCTCAAAGACGCCCATGCTTCAGGTATCATCAACATGCTAATTTCCCTCAAATTTATATCTACATCTCCCTCTCTCTCCAGAGTCCCAACCTACAGTTTAGCTTTTCATTGAACATCTTCCTGACCCTTACTGTTTATTATCTTTTTAACCTGAAGATTTATTATCTTTTGAAACTAATTATGAAAATTGACTGTCTTTCTCCCTAATCAACCTCTTGGGTAGTCTCCATCTCAGTGACTTATGCCACCGTGGACCCAGCTACCCAAGCGGGAACTCTGGGACATCTTCTGCTCCTCCCTTTGTCCCACGCCCCAGTTCCACGGTCACCAGGTCCTGTTGATTCTATCGTCTGCCCCTATCGCATTCCCACTTGCTTTGCACCCTCGTGGCCATGCCTTAGCTCTGCTCCCAAATTTGTCATCCGAGTCATCGTGGTGGTCTCCTTACTGGCATTCCCGATTCCCAGACGACTCCCTCCCTCCCATCTGCCACAGTGCCACCAGTGGAGAGAGAACGTCACACTCAGTGGCTTTCAGGATAACATCTGTGCCGCTCAGCGTGACGCCTGCAGCCTTTCCATCCGTCGGCTGCCCAGCGGCCCAGAATTTAGCTGGCTCCCCCAGCACCTGCAGTCCATACGTACTGCAGCATGAGAAATTACCCGAGTGCTCGGTACGTTTCTAAATTCTGTGATCTTGCACAGGACCCACTGTCGTCACAACCATTCATGTGTAGCCTTGCCCGTAAGTCACCCCATCGCGCCCTTGAGTCACTGGAGCACCTGGAATGACCTCACCCCTGTCTCGGGTGTTAAGTAAATATCTCTCCTCCAATGTCTGTCACTTTGAGCGACTACAAGGTCCTTGAGGACAAGGCTGTATTGCGTTTACCTTTTTATGCCAAGAGACTAGAACAGTGGCTGGCCTATAGTGAGTATTCCATAAATATTCACTGAATGAGTGAATACGATGCATATGGGTATGTGCCTATGTATGGGTTGACAAAGATACATGTGAATGTCTATTGAGAGAGAGAGAAAAAGGAAGCTTCACTCTAATGCGGTTCAGCTGCCCTGGAGAAAATGCTTCTTCAGCCTTTCTCCTGACTCCCCGGCAAGAAGGACTTTCAGTTACCTTGACTGGAGATCAGGAAACCCGAGGCCTGGTCTTATTTTTCCCACTAACCCCCTAAAATGCCCTCGTGTACTTTCTTAACTTCTGCACACTTCACTCCCCCATCAGAATGTGAGAGGGTTGCATTAGATCACTGTTTGCCAAACTCCAGTTATTTATGGATTATCTTTTGCCAAATCCACCTGTCTTATTATGAACACAGAACATCAGGACCCCAAATCAGCGTCTTTCCTACATTTTTATAATGCATGTTAACATTACATAGGTATTCATAATTTTTAAAAAATTGTCTTTCACTGTGCTACATGCCCATCTAGCCTGTCCCATGTGCCATCGTGAGGATTATGTGGACTTGCAGGTCTCCCCTAAACCAGGGGCTGCGGCTGCAGCTTGCAGAGCGGCCGCCAGGGGGCCACAGTGCCCGGCTGGAGCTCTCAGGCGAGTGGGCCCAGAGCCCGGACAGAGGTTTCTCAGGCTCCTGGGTCAAGGGGGAAGTGCTTTCCAGTGAATGACATTTTCTTCCTTTTTAGAAATAAGATAGTTGTATTGGCTCAGCAAATTCTCAATTAATTAATAACACAAATGAGTGTCTCCTAACCTTTTGGGATCAACTATTTCTTTGAGCGTCTGGTGAAAGCTGTAGACCTCTGTCACCAAACCACATATGCGCAGACAGACAAGCGACTGCGTGCAGTTTCAGGGGACACACAGATGCACCCGCTCTTCAGGGGGCCTTGGGTCTCTGGTTAACAAAATTGTGTTTAGAATAAGATTTAAGGAAATGTGAACGCCCAAGTACAGTCGGGTACTTCAATTTTAATTTTTACTGCCACTTTGTTCATTATAATCCCTGTTGAACGCAGCTTCTTAACACAGCACATTTAATTCTCTAAACTGCATAGAAGACCAGCCTGAATCAGACCTGGTTTGCGCAGGTCCTTCCAGCAGCCCAGGGAGTTTTAGCTGCTGCCTTCATGGGCCACCAGGCTCCCTGAAGAGCAGACACGGGTCCTCTTAGTAACATGAGTGGGTGCTGGGGGGGCCCTCCCCCGTGGGCACAGAGGCAGCGTGGCTGCGCTTCTCCCATCCGCACTGTGCCGTCGAGCCATCATTTGCATTTCGTTACGGTGTCCTGGGCAGATAACAGAAATCTTTGGCGCATTTTCAGTTGCTGATGTTCATTCATTCTGTCCAGTTTGGTACGTAATTATACGCCCAGTTCAAAGCTTTCCCTGTCCAGCGTCTGTGACCCTCTGGTTGTGGGTCGCTGCTGCCTCTCTGGCTCCTGGAGGCTGGGGACCCCCAGTGCACAGGCGTTGACTCACCTGCTCTCTGCCAGG